CACAAAATGCTAATTAAAGTTTCCATATTTTAAATTTTAAATTATAACACACTGATGATGAGACAAACCTAGTCTCAAAACGTTTGTGAAAATTATTATTTAATAAATCAGTACAAAAAAGAGTGTTGTTTGTTCATATTTTGAAATTAATATCTATTATCCACTCAGAATACATTTGTTATATACGAGGTCTGTTCAAAAAGTACCCGGAATTTTCGTTTTTTCAAAAAAATATTTATTTATTCGTCTACATTAATGTGGTCCCCTTCAAAGTAGTCCCCCCCAGATATAATACACTTATGCCAGCGGTTTTTCCAATTTTCGAAGCACCCTTGATATTCACTTTTTGATATGTCCTTGAGCACTCTCAGCGATTTTCTTCAATCGAGGAAAACCGCCGTCCTTTCATGGGTCTCTTCAACTTTGGGAATAGGAAAAAGTCACACGGAGCCATATCTGGTGAATTTTTGCACTTTGCAACACTTTATTTCATTTTTTACGCAAAATTTAATACAAATTCTTTGACTTTTCAATTCTTCCATTGTAAAAATCGCCGAGCTCAGAAAAACACGTCGAACCTTAGCGACTACCACAGACAAAGTAAACAGTGAATATAGCTGAAAATTTCATCATACTTTAGGGGCATGTATACCAACACAATAAAAAAAAATTTTGACAATCAGACACTCCAGACCCGCGAAATTTAATTATTAGTAATTCCGGGTACTTTTTGAACAGACCTCGTATATATATATATATATATATATATATATATATATACTAGATGACCCGACAGACGTTGTCCTGTACCCAACTCTGCATTTTTTGAATATCCTGTACTAATATTCACCGTTCAGTTAAAATTAATAATTATTGTTTTTCGAATTACTATTTACATCAATAAATGAGTGAATGTAGAACTGCTTCAAATAAAATGATGATTCTCAATTCCCACAGTTAACACTTTAATTATCCCTTTAACAAATATTAAAATATGTTCAATAAAATTATATAATAAAATTTAAACACTGCAATTTATAGTACAAATTTATTTCCAATAGCTCAATTCATTTTAATGTCAAGGGTTATACAATTTTTTAGTCATACTTGTAGATGTGGATGTGAAAATGAATGATTTTTTGTTTATTCACGACTAAAACATTGACTTTCCAAATGTATCACACAAAAAATCATCGCCTGCCTTTGTGATTTATAGCATAATTTACGTGTTGAAAATTGAAGTCTTTTAAAGGGTATAACAAATTCAGAAAGAATTAATAAATAGCATTCCCGATAAAGGTACAATATCACATTGGTTTTTTCCTACCCAAAATAATGGCTTCAATAATGTTGCCTATAATTTTTATATATTTGTACCATATTGTTACTGGCTTTTAGTAATTTTTATATCTAAATTACATTTTTCTCACTAATAAATTCACCCACCGGATTAATTGAATTATAACTCTTTTAATTCTGATTTTATCAATACTTGCAATACACTATTTTGAAGGTAATTAAATAAGCTACAACTTTCTCTATCATAAACTTTACCGTAACTTCTCTTATTTTGAAAAGGCAAAGGATTGAAGGACTCGAAAGACATTCTGGTTGTACACTATCAATATTTGTGTAACAGAAAAATAATAAAAAGCAATAATTGGTCAGTAAAAGACCTTGAATTTTCATTAATTTTGGTGGAAATGGCACTCAAAAACTATTTGCTTTAAACGAAAAAAATATTGTATGCGGTTTTATCTGCATGATAGCTCACTGATCTTACACGCGGAAGTACTAATTTTAAAGCTTATTTTGAGTACAATAAAACCCCATTTTCATATCTAGCTTAATATTGTTCTTAGAACAATTTATAGAACACCGATTTATTAGGATTTTGATTGATATAATTTTGTTCATTACATTATTTTCGTTTAAATGTATATTTTTAGAAATAATTGCCAAAAACGATGAAAAACGCAAAAAACAACAAATTTTCAGTAGCCAGTAACTTGAAAAGCAATTTCTTTTTTGAAAAACATTATTAAACATTTTTCTCTTATAATTAGTTCTCTTATCGATATCCGACGTCAGTTTGAAAGAGATACAATTGCACCACTGAAAAGAGATGTCATCCCCCAGGGAAGTGGCATATGATTCTAAATTATTTTTACTTTTAAACTTGAGGGTAAGATGAACCTAATTTCAAAATTTCATGCAAATTGGAGCACATTAAAAATATTCAGACCCAAAATGCTCCATTGTCTTGAGTAAATATTTCGTATCTAATACCAAACATATGAATTTTTGACACAATGAAACTTCTAAATAATTGTTTGAATAAATAAATTATTTTTGTATCGTGGTTTAGTAAAGTAAGGCAAAACACGTCTGCATTTAAAAGTTAAACTAGCTGTAAGTGGAATTCTGTCTTAAGGCAATTAAGGCATCGTGCCTTAAGGCAAATTGCTGGAACTTCCCGTACCAGTTTTTTTTTTTAAACGATTAACATTTTTGAAGAAAATTTACTTAAAAAAAATAAGATTTTTGAGAAACTATAAATTGGACCAAAAATTACTTTTTTTTGAAAAAAATTTTTTTTTTTTTAAAAAAAAAAATTTTTAATTTTTTTTTTCAAAAAAAAATGTTTTCTTTATTTTGACATATTTTGAAAGATCTAAACTTTCTTTCAAAGCAATCGTACTGCTTTAACTGCATAAAGACGAAACATCAAAGCGCGTAAGCGCCGCGTCGCCGTCTAACGCGTAACCATTGGTACGGAACCCATACTTATTGTTAAAATCTCTATAAAATATCTGATAATTTGATGTGCATATGTCTAATGATCATTTTTGACCGCCAAATGGCATTTTTTTTACTTTTTTCATTAGATCTCCGAAACTGCTAGACCTGCCTTCATGAAAATTTGATCGGTTCTTCACCTTGTCAATATAAGTAAAATGTTTTTTGAATTATTAAAATCGGACGCTCCGTTCTCTTAAAAACTGAGTTACCGTTTTCGGCACTTTTTGCCCCGTATCTTCGGAACGGCTAGACCTGCCTTCGCCAAAAACTAATCAGCACGTCTCCTTATCAATACGAATCGAATGTTTTTTTGAATTATTCAAATCGGTTGATCCGTGTTCCCGAAATCGTCGACGAAAATTTGTATCCGCGCATACATACACACACGCACATACATACATACATACATACATACACACACACACACACACACACACATACATCCATTTTTTCTAAGGTATGCCAAAATGTTTAGAAACCTTTGAAACGTAAAGATATATAAAAATTTTCATTTTCGATTTTTTTGCGATTACTATAACTTGCCCTACGAGAAGTTGAAAATAATAATTAGTCAAAGTGAATTGTAGTTGTAGGCTAAGTTTTATGTGCGATCTAAATCTTATATTATTTTAATTTTTAGCACATCTCAGCTGCTTTTCGGCATTAATAATGTAGACATTGCATTCTCCTAAATCATAATCATGAATTTATCATATTTTAATATTGCCTAAGCCTATAAGTGAACAGAAATGTTTGGCAAATGACAGTCTTCAATTGTTTTTAATGTCAAACTAAGCTTCAAATATTTTCAAGGGCAAACAATGATAAGCGGTTTTTTATAATTTTTTCCATTTATTTCTACAATCTAACTATATTTCTATGAATCAAAACATTCTAGAAAATTTCCCGAACAAACTTCAGGAAGATTTATGAATATCCGAATTATAGTTTAGGAGGAATTATGAAACTTACATTGTTACAGAAGAATTTTATATATAAGATATATATATAGCAGCATTTGAAATATAAAAACTGTTTTATTGAAAATAATTAATTATACTATATGTACTTAAGAAAAAACATTTATATTAAATTTATAACCAAATTAAGTACCATTTTGCATTAAGAAAAGTTGCCTGAACTTTGCAATACGTGTAAATTAGCTATTTAGGTAAAGGTGTTCAACTGATAATTTCGAAAATAAGGATTTCGCTTTCATTAAAAACGATTTTTAATTGATATCTTTGATATATACTTATCTGTTATTTTAGTTTGATTTTTTGAAGGAACAGTGATGATTGTAAAATACTTCAATTGTAATATTAATTAAGGGAATGCAGTTGAATAATTTTGTTGCTTGCTTTGCTTGTGCTTGTAGCTGTAGCTCCAAATTTGAACTTCCTATCTTGATTTTGAACTTTCACTTTATTTAATCTTGATTTACTTGGTTTATGATTGTTTGATGTTTTTAGATTTCCTTCGATTTTACTGGATGTCAAATCCGGCTTGTCTGCACCAATGTTATTTTTGTTTGATTTTTTGAAGGACCAATGATTGTTGTACAACACTTCAATTATAATATTAACATCTTGCATACTCTATTAACGTCTTTTCTTAATAAATATAATATTTTGTTCAAAAATCAGCATGGATTCCGGAAGAATCATTCTACTTCCAACTTGATTTATAATTTTGTTCATAACATCATTGACTCGTTAGAAGATGCCACATATTGTACTGCAATATTTTGCGATCTATCTATACTTTCTAAAGCTTTTGATAGTATTTCTCATCAAAGACAAGAAATATCTCAACAAATCGATATGAAACATTGTAGGAGTGCGTAACCTTTATTCTAAACTTGAATTCATTATTATAAATAACTTCTGATAACATATGATAATTCAAAGTGTTTGTTTTTACTATCAACTTTATCAATATTAAAATCAGCAAAGTTCATTAAAATCCCAGACGAACAATCTGATGTTCTCGTTGTAAGACATTTAAAGATTTAGGTGTTTGCGACTCTTACTTAGCCTTTAGAAATCCCTTTGATCGATTTTATTTGATCGATTATTAGTATAGTACTATTGAATATTCCATAAATTTCAATTAAAATGAAAAATAACATTACATAAATGTGCCTATCCAACGAACACCATTTTAATTTGCTATATGACTTGTCTTGAAATTACCAGTCTTTCGCATTCTTTGGCGTGGAACCGAAACTCTTGGATGAAAACGGAGTTGAAATCCAAGGCGAAGGTGAAGGATACCTGGTGTTCAATAGACCCTGGCCGGGAATAATGAGGTCACTGTTCAACAACCATCCAAGATTTGAAACAACATACTTTTCTAAGTTTCCAGGATATTATTGCACTGGAGACGGTGAGTACATATTTATTTATTGATTCATAAACAAGCCGTAATCAATATAAAATAAAACTAGTGGGGCGCATGGCATCGCGCCTTAAGGCAAATTGCAGGAACTTCCCGTATCGCAATTAAACATTCGAGGATTGAAAATAATCAATAGCTGTTTTGAATAATTTATTACATACTGTAGATTATTTATTACATACTGTAAACTTAATGGAAGCAACAATTTTCCTATGACATTCTTTACGTAGAAATAGTCATACTAACATCACAGACTTCGGTAACTTTCTCCATCAGCTCTTAGTATGTTTCTTAGCGTATTCAGGTTGCGATTCAAGACTATACTCATGGCATTTTCATCAAGAGATTTTATTTACCACCGAATGGCCTTAAATGGCTTTAAATATCTTCAAATATTTTTATTCGTTTACATTTCCCAGATGATTGCATTGTGGTCACAAAACATGTGGGGAATCAACCAGGCTAGACATTGAGAAAAAAACAAAATGTTTTGTCATTTTTATTTATCATAAAATTTTGTAATTAATAAATTGCTTATATTTTCATCCAATGGATTTTATATTAATATACATAATTAATTCCTACATAGATATCTAATACGTTTCAATTGCAATTTTCTTTGACAACGCTATTGCTAACAAAAGTAAAGTCTGTTATTTAATCTGCATTGTCTTAGGTTAAGATAAGCTTATCACCGCTATTTAACAAAACCACATCCAGTGTTGTATAGGCCTGTAAAAGTGATACGAATTATACAAAAAACATTCGATTTCCATTGGATACGTGCTAATTAGCTTTTGCCATAGACAGTTCTAGCCGTTTTGGAGATACGGAGCAAAAACATTTTTAATTTTTAAGGTTTACTTAAAAGTAAAGAGAAAATTTCAAAATTTTCCGAACAAAAAATTCAAAATTTTCAAAAATATACAAAGTTTTATACTTCAAATATGCAATTTAAATTTACAAATCAGTTTAAAATTTTTTTATTATTATTATTTCAAATGCGTTATTCTGATCGTAAACCTTAAAAATTAAAAATCTTTTTGTTCCGTATCTTAAGAAATATATCCTCAGCATGCTAATGTAAACTTTCTCAAGTGCCTTGAGCGATGAGATCGTTACTGTATATTTTATGAACGATAACATATATAGTGATGATGATTGCCTATTTGAAAATGTATAAAACATTTGTTGTAAATCATTGATCAATTTTTATTGTATTTGTATTAGGACTTTTATTGTATCTATTATACACCAATAACCTTAAAGACGCAAAATTAAAGGGAAGATACATGTTATATGCAGACGATACAGCGATAGTATATGCGGATAAGGATAAAAAAAAACTCGAAGATACTATAAACACGGATATGAAAATATACACCGAGTGCCTAACTGAAAATAAACTAACAATTAACATAGATAAAACAAAATACATATATTTCAAACATAGAAAAAATACTGAGAACACTAAACTAAAAATTGAAGTAAATAATAGAGCAATAGAGGAAGTGGAAAGCATAAAATACTTAGGACTGATAATAAATGAAAAACTGACATGGACAGACCATATAAACAAAATAAAAAGAAAGATAGGAACATTAACAGGGGCATTGAAAAGGATCCACTCTTTCGGCAAAAAATAATAAAATACTAAGGGACCGATTCTGCCGCAATGTTATGATAAGGTCATGTTATGAAGAATTTTCCATAGTAATATAGACAAAAGTTATGCGGTTGGTGTTCAGTCAGGCGAATTTCTCAGGTTTTCTCATACAAAACATAACCTAAAAGCCGCACAAATGTCAAAAAAACGATGTTAGATAAGTGTGTGTTTCTGATTCCTCTTAGGTAAGATACGAGTGACGTTGCAGTTTATGTTTAAAACGCCGGAATGAACAGCAAATACATGATATTTTGACAGCATTCAGTATGATTCCTTCGCATAATGTATGGGGAGTCGGAGCGTAACATGCCATGCCGTAACATTTCTCTGTTATGCGCAGAATCGGTCCATAATTCTTAAAACGCAAATAATACCTATTATTTTATATGGCATAACAACATGGAGCCAAACAACTAAAGCAAACCTAAATGACATACAGAGAATAATGAATAAAGCCATAAAAATAGCATATAATTTACCACATCTAACACCCACCAAATACTTACAGAGAGAAACAAATAATCATTCACTAAATAACATAATTAAAATAGAGAAATACAAACTAATACACAAAATGAAATTTAACCGAATTAAAACAAGTGCAACAATAGACACAAATCAAGATATACATGAACACTACACTAGACAACACAACAATTTTCATATTGAACGCAATAGAAAAAAGAATTTGGGAGAAAATGTCATATGGAGTGCTACCAAAATATATAACGAATTGCCAGACTATATTAAGATGACCAATGATAATGATAATTTTAAAAGAAAAATAAAGAAGTACTATAAGGAAATTGAAGACAAAGAAGACTGAAGAGTTATATATATAGATATTATATTAATGAAATAGATATTATAGTCAAATGAAATGTAAATATTATATGAAAACTGTTTTTCATAATCTCTCATACCAGGCACCTCTGTCTGACTGAGATATGAAAATAATGTATATATTTAAATAAATAAAAAAAAACATATGACAAATGGAAACAAGTTGAATGATGTGTCAGATGAATCATATAAGTCAAGTCGAATAAGTCAGATGTTTCGTTCATTTTGATTCGGATCAGAAGCCAGTCAGTTTGCATAATTTAGATTTTTTTCTTTTCTGGCATATCACTAATTAAGGGCATCTAATAAAATATAATTAAGTTGAAAAGAGCAAGTACAAACGATTTGAAAAATTTGAAAAATACAGCACAAAAAATAATCTCATAACTAGTGGTGTGTCTTAAGGGGTTACGGGTGCTTGGAGAATGAGAATTTTCAGTATTGTTTTTTTGTTATTAAACGATGTTTTTTTACAAAAATATTAATACGGCATCATTATATAATGTTTTGACTTGAAGTAACAAAAATTCCAGAAAAAAATTAAATACTCTCTACTTAAAATTAATACTAAAGTTATAGCTGTTTTTATTGACCCTGTTTCAAAAAACGGTCCTGGCGGTGACCATCATAACTCCTTAGAGATTCATCTAAAATCAATCAAATAAAAAAAATAGATTTATAAATAGATAATCCTGGGCCTGATCGAAGGTTTTCTTTTTTTGCAAAAATTAACAAAATGGCAGCATCAGAAATAAAATTTCTAGATTTTTGGTTAAAAAATCAACAGTTAATTGGTCTTAAAAAATTGCAATTTTTGAAAAAATAAAAATCTTTCGATCAGACCCGAGTTTATTATGTATTCTAAAAGCTGTATAAATTTCATTAAAATTTACTAAGCGGTTTTTGAGTTACAGTGGTTACCGGTTCAAAAAACTATATAAACTAAATAATTTTGAGAAAAACGCGTTTAAAGTTTGACATTGGATTTACGTTCAGAAATTCGAATTATTGAATTACTTAATCCGAGTCATCTATTTCTGGGCCATATAATAGTTCATCAGTAATTGTGCAAGTATCTAAAATTTCCATTTGCTGTTGCCTACGAAGCATTCTGGCCTCCCGAATGTTCTCGTTGGCGCGCTGATCTGCCACTTTCACACGTGCAGTATCCAATTTTTCAGCATACCAATGGGAATTATACCCACAATTAGGTCCTCCTAGGGTATCTATAATCAATAATAATGATTATGTATATGTATTCTGCAATTTATACGATAGTAGAGCTAGTATTCATGGATAAGTAAACATAAGCCTGTATTCACGGTTTTTAGGCATATTTTTTACACTAGTTGGTTGAAGCTTTTAATTTTTTCCTATTATGGATTCAACCTTGAACTACACATCTTGAAAGTAAATTATCATTGCTGAGATCGTCGTAAATCGGTTTAAAAGCTTTTAAAACATCAGGAGGTTAGAAAGAATAATCTTGAGTATAAGTATCGAGCGTCAGCGCGCTGGTCCAATAACTCAAAAAGTAATCATAGGATCAACTTGAAATTTTCAGAGAACATTTTCAAGATATTACACTTAATGAAAATGCAAAAGAATAAAAATCGATTTTTCAAAAATTCCAAGTACCCCTAACGCCTAACCCCTTAAGACAAATTGCTGGAACTTTCCGTACCGTAACAAAATGTTCGAAGATGTTAATGTTTTCAAATAGATTATTATAAATAAAAACTAATATAATGTTTTCAAATAGATTATTATAAATACTGTAACATTAACACTGTAAAATTATTCATTTAACGTATTTAAGTAAGCTTTAAAACTACAGAAAGAAGTTTTTTGAATCATTCAAATCAGACGCTTAGTCTTCTCAAAAACTGCGATTTTTCGTACATTTAGCTTGGTATCTCCGAAACTTCTGGATCTGCCTTTGCCTAAAACTAATCACTTTTCCCCATCATTACGAATTGAATGTTTTTTGGATCATTCAATCGGATGCTCCGATCTCTCAAAAACTCAATTTCTTTTTTCTGCACTCTTTGCTCCGTACCTCCGAAACGGCTAGACCTGCCTTTGCCAAAAACTAATCAGCGCATTTTCCTATCAATAGAAATCGAATGTTTTTTGAACCATTCAAATCGGTTGATCCGTGAACCCGAAAACGTGGACGAAAAATTGTATCCATACATACATACACACACACATTCACACAGTGAAGAAATGTAAAAATTTTCAATTTCGATTTTTGGTCGATTACAATAACTTACCCTATGGGATGTTAATAACAAGTAGAAATTACTGTACTGTATTACATTGATAAAACAGCGATATATCATTAAATTGTTGGCCGGATCATCAATAATAAGTGAGCAAAAATTCACGCCCGAACTGCGGTTTGGGCTAAACTGCAAAATATTTAATAATCTTAATTTTTTTTTCAGGAGCCAGGCGTGATTCTGACGGTTATATTTGGGTCACCGGAAGAATCGACGATATGTTAAACGTTTCCGGGCATCTGATGTCGACTGCGGAAGTAGAATCAGTCCTGACCGAACATCCACGTGTGGCGGAATCGGCTGTCGTGTCACGTCCACATCCTGTAAAAGGCGAATGCCTGTACTGCTTTATAACGCCTAATCAAAACGAAGTTTTCGACAAAAAGTTAGTGGATGAATTAAAAAAATTAGTGCGAGAGCGCATAGGTCCTTTTGCACAACCTGATGTGGTCCAGCACGCACCTGGTTTACCAAAGACTAGATCAGGAAAGATCATGAGACGAGTTCTCAGAAAAGTTGCTGTCAACGATCGTGACGTTGGCGATATATCGACACTAGCTGATGAAAATATAGTCGAACAACTTTTTCAAAATCGACCTAAATAAATTTGTTACAGACGTTAGTAAATTATTGTCCTTTTTAACGTTTATTTTTTAGACTATTGATATTTTTTAATTATTTTTTTAATGCGCATGACAAAGATTCATTCTTAAACTAAAATAACAGTTATATGAGCGTTGTAAAATTAGTTCTGTTATATATTTTTTTAAATATAATTTTAGACCAGACCCGCCTACTAATAAAATTTAACAAAATAATAATTTAAACTTAAAAGCAAAATAAATTCTAATTTAACAATATTGAGAAATATAAGGTCGAAAATTATTCATTTATTAATATATCACGTGATTAAGGTACCTTAATCCAAAAGCCTGTAATTTTTTTGCTTCGTGAAATAATATATATTATCAAGCCTTTTTGTATACCTACATATATTCTTTATGCATCTAAAGTTTTTTGCGGAAAAGCTATCCCATCCAGTAAACACCGTGTGATTTGAGTGGCAATAGCAATCTGAAATCCACAAGCGTGCAGGGCTGTGGCACCCATGTGGAATCTTTGTGCATTGCAGATTGCTACCGCCGCTAGGTGTTTCCTAGGCAGGTAATATATGTTGTATATGTTTATATCTAATAACAATCTCTGAAAGCATAAGATAAATCAGCCTGGTATCTGGTTGTATGTTCATAAATATTATTGTATATAAGTTAGATGTAAATATATTATGAATTTAAAATTCTTTTGCTAAATTCTAGCTTAAATTTTATTTTTTAGAACTAATGTACAAAGGCGTGATGAATTTCTTAATGTCTATAAAGTCGTCAAGTCACTAAAAATATTTTAATTGCACTTGATGTATGTTTTTATTTTAACCCTTTTCGGTCGAATTAAATTTGGTAATGGGTATTGTAGCACTCGGAATTATTTTTCTTCGATAGACCAGAACATGCAAACTTAGGATGCGTAATCAAATTTTAATAATTATTTTGTGTACTTTAGATATATGTTTATTCAATACACCTATATCTAGTAACGTTTATGTGTGATAGTTACGTATGTTTTCTAATTATTGTATTCTGTATGAATACATACAAACACATAATTCGAGTAGTAACTTGCTGTGGTGGCTGAGAGCAGACATACGACCTGAAGGGTGAGCAGGCTTTGGTGGCTAAGAGTGAACAAACGACCGAAAAGGATTAAACAATTATTCATCCAAACCCAAAAACAATAATTCACTGAAACTCAAAAAAATAAATATCAACTACCAAAATGCTCGAGTTAATAAATAACATATATTAAAGAGAAAAAAAGAGAAAAGAATTTATAAAAAAAATCATTTTATGAATGAATAGGATACCAAAATAATAGATACTTATTATATATTCACATGAGTTTAACACCTATCTACGTTTAACAGAAAAATACTTATTTATTGTTTCTTTTTAAGTGATAAGTCACAAAGAGTTTCAAATTGTTAGAAGACATTTCAAGTGAAGCTCAAGTTACATGTTTATACTTTGTTAGGTGGTCAAAATTTGCTTCACCTAATTTGATTATATAGGAACATTCTCACATAGTTACTTAACATTATCATATTATTTTTAAATATATAAAAATACAAATTGTACAAATATGCATGCATATTACTATGTTATTTAGAAATTTAACTGTTATTGTAAAATACCTGCACTACTGAATTGTGTTAAATGTACAGAATAATGACCACAATACACTACTATGACAATTTTTTTCTAAATTCTTTTGCATGTGTAATATGCTTTGCATTTATATGTTTTATACAAACACATGTTTGTGTAATAAACCCAATTTTTCATGAATAATTGTAATTTCAATATCATCAAACTATCCAGATGGCCACATAATTTTATCTGTGAATAGATCATTTTTCTAACAGTTACATTTATTTAGTTTACATTTATCAGCTCATAGTCATCTATCCATCTATTGATATCTCTAATCCTTTATCAATTTACAACATTAATTTTAGATGATCAGGTGAGCCATGAATGTTAATGAAATTTTTGTGTGACGTATATAATCATGTATTACACTTATGATCAAAATCGAATAGAAAAATCATCATTGCAAGCAACAGAAGTATATGGAATAATGATGAGAATTCATCCTATGTAAAACTAGATATAATTTAAAGAGATTGATATTTTATTTATATGAATCAGATTAATAAATCTGGAATCTGTCTCATTTTTAGACTTGAATTAAAAAAATATATTAACACTTTAATCGGTTTATCTTAATATATTATTTATATTTCAAATTTGTTTTTTAAAAAGAAAAAAAAACAATATGAAATAAGTTGGGTGTATATATTAATATTTTTTATATGTATATGCATATCAAGAGTACACGCAATGTACTAGTGTCTAGTTAAAATGAATATAAAATGGTACTGATTAAATACATATCATTCCAAAAATGGAAACTTAGTGATAAAGAATATAAAATGTTATTTAATGCAAATATATTAACAATGTTAAATACATCAAATATATGTAAAATACAGCAAAGATTATCAGCTTGTTCCTCTGTTATTTCTATGCTTTGAATCACCTTATATTCCTAATTCGTAATCATCTCTCTGCAATTGAAATCATTATCAAAATAATTAATAAAAGCAATTAATGTTATTAACACTATTGCATTATATATTTGTTCATGTATACCATATCATTGTATTCCATAACATGTCGTTTTATAGCAGATCCATCGACCCATGTAACAAAATCTTCAAGTGTCCTAGTTATAAGAAATGCTGGATCTTTCACTATTTCTGGACCAACTCTTACATGGCCTTGTTGTATCAACTTTGTAGCGCCTTTTATTGTTTCGGACATTTTATCTAGAACAAATATAATTTTATTTATCTACAAAATATCGCACTTGGTAACCCCATACACACTTCAACCATCAGATTTGTAAGACTTTACTAAGGAAATTTTAATCTTATGAATTTATGACTATACTTTCTGTGAAGCAGTGCAACTTTTTTTAATTGCCTTGAATTCACCAGTATTTTTCTCTTGAAGATTACATTAATTTTATATAATGTGTGCTTCAATGCAAATTCTGCCTTAGGCGTTGAAATATGCCAATTTTCAAAATTGCCGCTTAAACCATTAAGAAGAGGGATTTCTTCTTCAGTTCAATAAATTCAAAATAATAATTAGAGTTTCATTTATGTTTACTTTTCATTATCAGGTGTCCTCATAATTAGCTATTAGTTTACAATAGTATTTCATTTTTGTCGCGCAATAATTGATTGACCATGTTCTGTCTGGTTCCATCCAAGACGTGACTTTCTGCCAATCTCAATGAGCTGCTTTCGGTGGGACTATCACCATTTGAATAATATTGTGAATAATGGTACATTTCCACATATTCATCAATTAATTTTGATGACAACTCATTCCACAAACTTGCTTTTTTAACTTCCCAAAGGAGAAGTTTATGTTTTCATAAAAAAATCCGATCCGCTAATTATATGTTTTCTCGACGTTTCAAGCCATTCTGAATCGAATGAGACCAAATTTGGAAAAAGTATGTGTGTGTGTGTGTGTGTGTGCGTGTGCACGCACAGATTTTTTGCTGTAAATCGAAATCGACCGATTTTAAAAATTTAAAAGCCATTCGATGTATCTCAATAAGGACTAGCATTTATCAATTTTACGCGACGATCAGCCAAGCCGTTTCTTTGTGAATATCAGAAAAGTGAAAAAAATTTCGTCCACGTTTTAGCCCGCAATTCTGAATCGATTTTAAAAATTTAAAAACCGTTCGAAAGATATTGTTTGGGAAAGATACTGATTAGTTTTTGGTAAAGATCGGCCGGCCCGTTTTCTTGTAATAAAGTGTTGAAAAATTGAAATTAGTATCGCTTTTTTGGCACTTGTCAAAATTAGAATCAAAAACGCCTGAACCCATTTCAAAAATTTAAAAACCATTTGAGGTATCTCAATGAGGACTATCGCTTGTCAGTTTTGTACGACGATCGGCCGAGTCGTTTCTTTGAATATTGGAAAAAAGTGTTAAACTTTTCGTCCACGATTAAGCTCATACTACCGAATCGATTTTCACAAATCGAAAACTGTTTGAAAGATATTAGTTAGCAATGATAATAATTAGTTTTAGGTGAAAATCTACCTAGCCGTTTTCTTGTAATTAACTGTTAAAAAAAATTTAAGCCGATTTTTAAGGAACTGTTTTTTAGCAATATATATCATGGTCTTAGAGAACTTACTGAAATAATACCACCTTACGACAAGTAGTTTAATTTTAAAAATTCGTCAAAGTTTGAGAAAATGAGTAGTTTTTTTACGTTTGTTAAAATTAAAATTAGATGATTTACTTGGTATAACGCTAGAGTATTTGGTCTTAATGAACATACTAAACAATTAAAGTCCTACGGAAACTTGTTTAATTATAAAAATTGATTTGTGAAGATTTGAAGAATACTCCAAGTTCACGTGTTCGTTCGATTTCAAATATCACTCATAATTTTTTTTTTTTTTTTTTTTAATTAAGTCGATTATTTTAACATATCGGGAAGTTCATGTAACTTGCTTCAAGGCAAAATGCCAATACCAACTAGTTATAATTTTTTCCTCTTTAACGCGCAACTAGATAATTTGCGAAGTGTTGCATAACTAATTACAGTCCATAACTATTTGCGGTTTCGTTTTCCTAATATTATTTTTCAAATATTCTGTAGAGTCATATATGTCAGAAAGAAAGAAAACATCTCTCTTGTCCTTCCATCTTACCACTATTAATTTTGTTTTGTGATGAATGGCTATAAATAGCCTGCCTTACTTTTTTTATAAATTTTTTAAGTTTCAGGATTTCCTTTGTTATTAGATTTTAGGGTTTTATATGTATCAAAGGTATGTTATTGAAATTAAAAGGTCTGCTAACACAACTGATCATTAAAAATTATCATTTGCAATTTATTATTATTAATTATTAAATCATTATTTGTGTTTGACAGTATCCTTTGTTTAGTAATGGCTTCATAAGAGCCATTACAACCTGCATTGACTAATGGGTAAATTACCATATTGCCTGTATATATGAGTGAAGACCATATATATCCCAAGTTTGATTCACACAAAAAGTAATGTTTATTACAAAATTGCTCTTTTCATTGCTGTTACAGATAGTCCAAGAACCCGTGGGCGAATGACAGTATGTATTTTACCACACTTGAGATTTTGTGCATCGATTCCTCTATACCTATCCTACATGGGATGGAAACTGACTAATCCCAAAGTGGCGGACACATCTACTGCGCAGCTGGTAAAGGTACCTTTTTTTGACCATTTCCGAACCCTTTTACGACGGCTGCCGTCGAAAATTTGGAAAAGAATATTATTACTATCGGAAAATACCAATGGCAGACGATTATCGCGCGGTTAACATGGTGGCAGACGATTTTGAAAATGCAGAAAAAAATTTTTTTTGAATGTATTTTATGATGTCTGCCATTTACATATTTTATTCCTTATAGTATCAAAACCTTATATTTATCATGGCAGACGTGTACCTGGCGTATCAACATCAGCAGAGTTAAAAAACTCGGCTACCATCCGGCCTGATAGTATGCACAAATTTCCATGTTTTATACCGGTATAAGCATTTTTTTCATAATGATAATAGAAATTAATATTTTTTAGTCTATATGTGACATTTAATAATGTTGATGAGCGGAAAAAAGGATTTTTTACGCTAAATTCATAAATATTAAAATATACAAACGATAACAACAATTATTGTGATCTTTAATCAATTTTTTTTTTTTATTGTAGTCTAATTTCAAAATGTTGTATAAAAATAAAGTTATACAATATTATATATATATATATATATATATATATATATATATATATATATTGGAGATGGGCTTATCATATCCGAAGCCGGATCGACTCGGATTTGACTCCGCTTCAGGAAGGAGTTATATCCGATTAACAACTCCACGACTCCGACAACTTTGAAACCGAAATACTCGACACAAATGTGTTCTATAGTGCGTTGTTTATGCATTTAAGAATTTGTCAAATCCCATTTAATTTTTTGAAATGAAAATTTATGAATTAAATAAAATTAAAAAATATCAATAGAAGAATTTTTCTAAAAAATTTACAAATAAATGACGAGTTGTAAAATTTTTCGGTCGACCACATGATGGACTCAATGACTCGTAATTTTAACAGGGCTGACCAAAGTGAAAACGCAAAACTTGAGAATCAAATTCAATTTAAATATTTTCTTTTGATGTGAAAATAATTGATTATTTTGATTAATTTTATATGAAAGTAATGTAGTAAACTTTGTAATAAAAGCAAAACATTTATCATAAAATATTTTCACCAAATAATAATACTTCTGAATTCTAATTTTTTCTTCTGCTATTTCCATTCGAGAATTAATATTATATCGGGTAGTTCGATTAGCATATTATTACTTTACATATGCATACTTACTTTTAAGTAAAAATTTAATACTATATATTTTTTGCTGCTTAAATACTATTGACGTCACTGATATATTTTGCACTCTAAAGTGTTGTTATTTCAGGCTATAGAAAAACCAGATTAAATGTTGTTTCGTGTATTTTTCGGTATGTATCGTATTCGGCCAAAGATCGTCGTAGGTAGAAATATGACCCTTACTATTCAATAAATTATATATTTGAGCTATTCACACTTGAACACAATTTCATTGTTCTGTATCTTTGAAGTAATATTTTTGTATTTTCTGGAAAAAAACGTATACCTAAAAGGTCATAAAACTGAATCTCAGAAGAGAAAGCGACCGCTATTCCTTCCCAAAGCAAAAATGCCAAAAACAGTAAATTAACGCACGAGTTAACATATTTAATACCAGTTTAGGAAAGTCGGATATGACAAATCCTGTGAAACAACTCCACTCGGATTCACTCCGAGGGAGGAGTTGTATCGGAGTGATAACTCCTGAGTGAGTTACCATCTCTAATATACGTATATATATACATATATATTCTTTATCATCTCGGAGCCATATCTCTGTTTTGATGATTCCTCATCATCCGCTGAATTAGATTCTGTAAAATAAAAATTATTTGAAAATCCAACTGAAGATGTTTGACAAAGACGAGATTGTCCGAGCATACATCCGCTCCAACATAGGACTAAATATACTTTGGGGTTGATTAATGAGAGAAGGGCAGTGGTACAAAATCTGAAATTCTCTATTTAAATACTAGATATCATAATGTTTTTACTGTATTAGTTTCATTTGATTCTGCTCGTTCAATTTTTTTTCTATACTTTGAACTTGTACGTTGCAAATGATTCAGCATAGACGTACAATTTGGGGATGATTGGAGACACAAGGGCAAAGGTACAAAACCTGAAATTAAGTAATTTAAAACTGAATATTATATTGCTTATAATGCCTTGATATAATTCGATAATTGTAGCTCAATTTAATTTTTCCCGTACTAAATGCCTTAACATTATTTTAGGGATGATTTGTGACAAAACGGTGGTAATAATTTTTATAAAAATCAGTGAGTTTATAATATTTTTATCAAAGATTATTTTGTTTTTTTTACCTCAATACAGGCTTTTTTTCTGCACTATATACCTATCTTCACGAAACATCTCATATTAGGGTGGTCCGGCCGTCATGGGGTACTGATTTTAGTAGCTATTTTTGATTTTTTTGGTTTAATTTTAGTGGTACAAATTAGTACAAATTCGAATTAATCAATTTCCGTTTAATTTTATTTATTTTCTTCAAAAACAAAAAGTGGTCTTTTTACTCTACTGATGTAGATACGCCAGGTAAACGTCTGCCGCGATGAATATAAGCTTCTGATACTATAAGGAATAAAATATGCGTTTGCTGCACTTGGTGAAGAAAATTTAACAAAGAACCCCCCCCCCATACAAGATTTTTTTAATACTATTCAGCTATTATATTGTTTTTTTTTTTTTATTTCTTAAGTATGGTCGGACTCGTCTTTATCAAACATCTTCAGTTGAATTTTCAAATAATTTTTATTTTACAATTGACTTATTATTTTACAGAATCTAATTCAGCGGATGATGAGGAATCATCAAAACAGAGATATGGCTCCGAGATGATAAATAAAGTATATGTATATATATATATATATATATATATATATATATATATATATATAATATTGTATGACTTTATTTTTATACAACATTTTGAAATTAGACTACAATAAATAAAAAAAATTGATTAAAGATCACAATAATTGTTGTTATCGTTTGTATATTTTAATATTTATGAATTTAGCGTAAAAAATCCTTTTTTCCGCTCATCAACATTATTAAATGTCACATATAGACTAAAAAATATTAATTTCTATTATCATTATGAAAAAAATGCTTATACCGGTATAAAACATGGAAATTTGTGCATACTATCAGGCCGGATGGTAGCCGTTTTTTTTAACTCTGCTGATGTTGATACGCCAGGTACACGTCTGCCATGATAAATATAAGGTTTTGCTACTATAAGGAATAAAATATGTAAATGGCAGACATCATAAAATACATTCAAAAAAAATTTTTTTCTGCATTTTCAAAATCGTCTGCCACCATGTTAACCGCGCGATAATCGTCTGCCATTGGTATTTTCCGATAGTAATAATATTATATTTTCAAATTTTCGAAACGGCAGCCGTCGTAAAATGGTTCGGAAATGGTAGAAAAAAAGGTACCTTTACCAGCTGCGCAGTAGCTGTGTCCGCCACTTTGGGATTAGCCAGTCCCCATCTCATGTAGGATAGGTATAGAGGAATCGATGCACAAAATCTCAGGTGTGGTAAAATACATACTGCCATTCGCCCACGGGCTCTTTGACTAAGAGTATGTATCTGCTTGCCTGTATATTTAAATGTAAATATACAGGCCTGATTTCGTTGTGTCGACTTTCACTTGAGTTTTGTATTTATCTTGTAGTCTCTAAACATTTTTTGAAGTAAAATTTCTTTAGGCGGTTAGCAGTATCATTCGTGAGTTAATAAAAATGTCAGGATCGGAAGAATATTTTATCCCATACCCCATAAATAATTGAGGTGCAAATGATCGCAAATAAATAATGAAACAAAGGAAAAATCTCCGCTGCGTAAGAAATGTAAGTTTATTGAAGTAATTTGTATTACTCGAGTTTTTCGAGGTTACTATATACCTTTGAGGTTATTACTAAAACGGAAAATTTTATTTTTATTAGACAAGACAGATATTACAGTTGCTCAGAGAATGAAACAGTGCCAGTCAGTTACTGCCAATTTATTAGAAAATATTGAGCCAGGTATCATTTTAGATGTTAATAAGTAAGAATCTTTTTGACTCCAAAACGCTTCAACTATTCACATTTAAACATATTATTCTGTGATCTTTTTAGATGAAAGTACTGCTGTTACTTTTTTTGATACAGCAACTACATCACGTCAATTGCAAATTGATGATTCTGTATATAATGTGACTAATATGTGACAAGAACTGATCTTTTGCAAGAGTCAAATGAAGTGTTTGAACTTCCATATAAAGACTTCAATTTGCTTAGGAATGCACGAAAATTGTTTGAAAAACAATTTACAAATGATAGCTTTGGCTATGTATGTTTTGTGTGTGATCCACTTTGGTTTCAAAGTGACTTATAAATATCAAACAATGCTCAAAAACAAATTCTTAATAATGGTTTTTTGAATATTGATTCAAATAATCAGGTTGGATGTCAAACTTGTCGAAAGGTATTAACTTCAGGTAAAATTCCCATTTTGTGTAAATTTAACAGGTTTCTATTTCCACCTATACCAAATTATCTACCTAAACTAGATACTGTATTTGAAAGGTTAATTTCACCTAAGTTGTGTTTCATGCAAATTAGACGATTGAGACATGCAAATGGACAATTTGGAATATTTGGACAAATTATAAATGTTCCTGTTGACGTTGATAATATGGTTAATTTATTACCTCGTAATATTGATGATGATCATTGCATTAACGTTCACATAAAAAAGCAAATGATTCATAGATCAAGCTATGTGCAGGGCTTGATAAATAGAACAAATATAGAAGTATGGCTTCAATTTTTTAGGCAAGACAGATATTACAGCTGTTCAAGGAATGAGATTATATCGTCAGTGAAAAAGTAAAAAAATACAAACAGTAAATTAATGTATGTTAATTTTAATTACATGAAGTTCTTCAAACACAATTATTACATGATGACTGAAGTTACGAAAACAATATTTGTTTAGGCGTTGTTTAACATAATCCACTGTGTGAACGAATATTATAGAATTGATTAATCAGCAATTACTTTAAACCGATCATGTCATATTTCAAGTATGACCTTGATTACATTATTGTTTGTAAATATTATACATATTTTTATTGCAATCATTAATATAGAATTTATAATTTATCATTATATAAATGTGTATAATGATTGACGGCACTAATGAATGTGTGCATCACGAGTGTCACCATATTTCTAATAAACATTATTCAAAATTGTTATATGATGTATTTATTTTTACTTAACTTAAATTTGCTACTTTGTACAGTAGCAAATAAGTTTTACTTCAATCGCTTGTGATCCTTACGCGCACTCTTTTTTTTTTCAGCTTTTGGACAATACTCATAGCCCCAAAAAAAACACAGTTTGGAAATGGTGGTATATCACTTGTTTTCAACAGCGGTGGAAAAAGTTGATGGTTTTTCTCATACGGTTCTTGTAAATGTAGAAATTTCTTCATTCAACTGCGAATTTGCAGTAAAATCAAAAATGTTGATGCTATTAGTCAAATGTATCGTTTTGCGATTTACTTGAATGCGTTTCGTTGTGAAACGGAAACTCAAAGCTGAACATATTAAATCTGTTCCACGATTTTCAATAACGAACTTTTCTCGGCTTTCGCTATCGAATTTCATTGTTCACAAATCATTTACAAAGATTAGAGAAGAGATAAAACAAATGAAAATGGTCGACTATAAAAACTTATGTAAGAATAAAGAGAAAGCGGTGTAATGCATCGTGCATTGAAGCAAATTACTAGAACTGCTTGTGCCGTAAAGTCATTTAAAATTTTGGAATAATTTAAAATTTGAAGAGAAATTAGGTTTTGTGCGATTTTTTATTTTTTTTGAATATTTTTAAAATTTTTAAAAACATTGCATTCTTTGAAAGGATTTGAGAAAAAAATCGATTTTTTAAACAGAAAAATTGAGTTAAAAAAAATATTTTTAAAAATTTTGAAAATTTAGAGAAACACATCAGTTGATAAACAATGTCGAGGAATCCTGTTTGAATCATATAAGCAAACTTTATTATGAACATCGTTATAAAACCCAAAGAATTGAGAACAAAATATGTACGTATTACTGAATAAAATACAATAATTTTATGTGCATATATATGTCTAATGATCATTTTTGACCTAAACAACAATTTTGAATTCTTACATAAGTAATTCAATATTTGTTGCATAATTCAAATTGAACACTCCGTTCTCTCAAAAACTGAACTGCCTGAAATTTAACTTTTAGCTGTGTGTCTTTGAAACAGCTAAAACTAATCAGAACGTCCTCCCTTCAATAGAAATCGAATATTTTTTTTAATTATTCAAATCGGTTGATCCGTGCGCCCAAAATTGTAGACGAAAAATCATATCCACACAAAAACGCACACACACCAATTTTTTCTAACAATAAGATATGCCAAAATGTTCAATAGGTTTTGATATGTAAAGATGTGCTAAAATATTCATTTTCGATTTTTTTGAAAGTACTTTAACTCACCCTACGGGAAGTTAAAAATGTATTTGCTTTCCACTTCAAAATAATAAAAAAAAATTTGTTCACACGCACACATACTTTTTTCCAAATTTGGTCTCATTCGATTCAGAATGACTTGAAACGTTGAGAAAACATAAAATTAGCAAATTGGATTTTTTGATGAAAACATAAACTTCTCCTTCGGGAAGTTGATTTATATTTCTAAAATAACACACCAACTAAAAAACAGCACATTTATGGCAAACATACTTCCGATCGTAAAAATCACGAAATTGTTCTAAACTTAAGCAATAATATAATAAATATCCAGGTACAAACTTATTATTATAAATTAATTATCCATTCAATAATTCAGTATTTCTAGGGACTATAGAATACCCTATCATGAATAGGGAGCTAAAAATTATCGCTTCAAATAAAAATTTGAAGATAATATGTAAGCAAGGCAAGAGGTATTCGGGATAGGAAAAATCGAAGCAATTCATATGCAAGACAGTCGTACAAAGTGATAAACATGATATTTTTATTTAGCTTAATGCTTAAATTAAAGTTCAAGTAAAAAGCACTTAACTTAAACAGCAAAAGATAACAATTTTTATACATACTTCGAACCATGACAACTGGTAACCTCCTTCGACAGAAACAACTTGCTGTCACTTTTTGAGCAAGACTGAGATCCCACTTGGTTGGAATTAAACCCATAACATATAATTTTTCTAACAACAATGCACTTTTTTCTGTTCTGAAAGGATCCTTTGGATCTACATCTTTAATTTTTAAAGCTAATTCTCTAATATTTCTAGATAATTTGTTATATCTGTAATTGGAAACAAATATAGGTCGTAATAAATTAATATGCATATAATATATATATATATATATATATATATATATATATATATACAAATATGCACATAAATAAATATGCCAGTAAGTAATTTTAATTAATAAAACGTATTACTTGGTATAGTCTTCTCTCCTTTGTATACAATACTTTTTCATAACTTTTACTTCATGTAAATTGTTGTCAACTTTCCAATTAATGAAATCTACTTTTTTGAGCAATTTTTGCTCATGAAATTTGAGTTTGCGCACCATTGCAAAATATTACAAATATATCAAATACTAAATTAAAAATTATATTAAGTCGTGTTATTTATTATTTAACAGGTTATTTGACTCATGTCTTTTCTATAGACCGGATAATATCGTGTGAGAAAGCTGTCTGAAGTTAGGTTAGCTGTAAGCTGTAACACATTACAGATTTGTCAAATCTTTTGCACTGTGCTTTCAACTTTTTTATGTTGCATTCGCTGTTACGATTACTACTTCATTACTATCTACTATAATCTTCATTACTATAATGTTTACTTATCTATGACTATAATTTCTTTTTTTCGGCGTGCTTATTGTGTAAACACCACCTTAAAACATGCTAGGAATTTGTCATTTGCTAACAGGGCCTATTTTCCATAGACCTTAGCAGGGCCTTTTCACTTAGAACAAAATCCTCGTTCAGAAGGAATACTTAGGGGTCCATTTCTAGTCGCAGATTTTTCGCTGGTGAGCCGATGAAAAAGTATTTTCAAATGTTTTCTGTTGGTTACTAAGAAACGTCAGTTTTATTTTTGTGTCAGTTTACAAAATGGTGATTCTTGTTCGTTTATGTTTGTATATTTGTTAATAAAGATTTCATCAGAAATTGCTCTCAAATACATAGCCCTTTGACAATATGAATAGAACAGCTTCAAACTCAAATGGAGGACATAATTACTACATTACTATGTAGTGCATTGACACATTAGTCTAATCATAATACACTTTAAAGAAAGGGGTCAGTTCTAGAAAATTGTGTAAGAAATCAAGTATACGCTTCTACAAGAAAGACATAATACACAAATAGAAAGCTATTCCAGCTGTTTGAAATTCGATTACCACTTCTCACGGATCAAATGCCAAATTTTGCACGGGATGATTATTAGTTAATGAGAGTTAAGAATGATAGACGATGTAATGAACTAACACTATAATGCATTATTCACTAAATTTCACTAAATTTTTATATTAATAAGTAGAAGAAAGTGTAAAAGTTATTCCAGTAGATTAGATGTGATATGTATTATATATAAACCAGTGTATTATAATATAATATTAACTAGTATATTTTTGTTATCATTGTATTATTACAAAACATAATACGATTGTAATACCAAATTTAGTTTCAAATACCCGTGTACTAAAATTCATTAATTTTCATTTCAAATTTTGCGCCATTAATTTTAGTGCCAAAAGCAGCGCCATCGCGTCGAGCGGAGGACCCTTTAAGTATTCCGTCCGAACGTAAAAATCGGGCGAGAGAAACGTCTATATCATAGACCTTATACAATACAAATTGTATAAGGTCTATGGTCTATATACATAAACACGGGGTATTCTAATATTGACCTTATACAATAAGGTCTATGCTATTCGTATGCGTATATAAGGTTTATGCTATCCTCTCAGAACAAAATCCTCGTTCAGAAGGGCTACTCAGGAGTCCATTTGTGTTCGCAAATTTGACGCTAGTGAGCCGATGAAAAAGTATTTTCAATTTTTGTCTCAGTTTACAAAATGGCGATTCTTGTTCGTTTGTGTTTGTATATTTGTTAATAAAGACAATATGAATAGAACAGCTTCAAACTCATATGGAGGACATAATTACTACGTAGTGCATTGAGTCTAATCATAATACACTTTAAGGAAAGAGGCCAATTTTAGGAAATTATGTAAGAAATCAAGTATAAGCTTCTACAAGAAAGACATATTACACAAATAAAAATCTTCAAGTTGTTTAAAATTGGATTACCACTTCACAGGGATCTGAATATACTTGGGAGAAAATGAATTGCTTAAGAATGTCAAATTTTGCACGGGATGATTATTATTAGTTAATGAGAGTTAAGAATGTAGACGATGTAATGAACTAACACTATAGCATTATTCAGTAAATTTCACTAAATATTTATATTAATAAGTAGAAAAAGTGTAAAAGTTATTCCAGTAGATTAGATGTGATATCTATTATGTATATATAAACCAGCAGTGTATTTGTTGATTTATATTTCGATTTGATTGTATATTTATTATAATATAATATTATCTAATATATTTGTATTATTATTTTATTATTACAAAACATAATACGATTGTAATACCAAATTTAGTTTCAATGACCCGTGTACTAAAATTCATTAAATTTCATTTCAAATTTTGCGCCATTAATTTGAGTGCCAAAAGCAGCGCCATCACGTTGAGCGCAGGACCCTTTAAGTATTTCTTCTGAACGTAAAAATCGGGCGAGAGAAACGTCTGTTCGCTCAGAGCGTGACTGCAGCGCCCATGCAGCGCCGTAATAAATATGAACTAATTGTGGCTATCAGTGTGTGGTTTTCATGGGTTTTATATGTTTGTTAAAGAAAAAAGATATTAAATAATTGTTATAAATAATAATGAACGAGATACAGTAATAATGTGAACGCTGAATATTTATTGAAATTATTAAATTTACTTCAACGTACTTAAAACATAATTAAGTATAATGATTAATTAAATAAAGAAATGCAGTAAACATTTTTAAGGTTAAGTTCCTCAAAGCTTATGTCATAATCTCGGAATAGTTCTGAATAAAAACAATATAATAATGATAAAAATATTTTATCAATAGAATAAGTAAATAATAAATTAATTTACTCTTTTTTTATTATTTTTGGTCAAACTAAAGACTTACAATAGACATTATTATATATATAAAAGACATTATCATTACATTATACTCTTCTTTTATCTATGGACATTATAAAGCACATACCCATAGCTGGGCACCGTTAATCAAATAGTTAACTTCGTTAATCGTTAATCCGCTACAAAAAAAGTTAACTTCGTTAAACTTTAAAGCGTTACATTTCGGAAGAATTAACGCAAGTTAACGTTAATCGTTAATCCGTTAATATGTGTAAAATTACATTTTTATATCGTTGCGTTAGTGAACTTAAAAAACTTATTAGTTTAGGTTCTGGAAGTTAACAGGTTATGAATAAAACAAAATACTTGTATAATTCAAATGTGTAATTTAACCCCTCGCGCGTTTTATGCACACTTCCGTGTGTATAAGGAAAATGGCACAATTATCACATACCGTGATAACGCTATTGGTCAACTTTCCGTTTTTATGATTGCATATTGTTTTTACAAGAATTTTTTTCTAAATAAAGGGAAAGAGTTTTTTTTAACTTCCCGTAGGGCAAGTTATAGTAATCGCAAAAAAATCGAAAATGGAAATTTTTGCATTTCTCGACGTTTCAAAGGTTTCTGAATATTTTGGCATACCTTAGAAAAAATGGATGTATGTGTGTGTGTGTATGTATGTGTATTCGGATACAAATTTTCGTCGACGATTTCGGGAACACGGATCAACCGATTTGAATAATTCAAAAAACATTCGATTCGTATTGATAAGAAGACGTGCTGATTAGTTTTTGGCAAAGGCAGGTCTAGCCGTTCCGAAGATATGGGGCAAAATTGAGCCAAAAACGGTAACTCAGTTTTTAAGAGAACGGAGCGTCCGATTTTAATAATTCAAAAAACATTTTACTTGTATTGACAATTATGAAGAACTGATCAATTTTTCATGAAGACAGGTCTAGCGGTTTCGGAGATCTAATGAAAAAAGTAAAAAAAAATGCCATTTGGCGGTCAAAATGATCATTAGACATATGCACATCAAATTATCAGATATTTTATAGAGATTTTAACAATAAGTATAAATTTTATTTACATTCCTATGGGTTCCGTACCAATGTTCATCCTTTAGACAGCGACGCGGCGCTTACGCGCTTTATATTTTGTCTCTATGCAGTCCTAAAGCAGTAAAATTGCTTTGAAAAAAAGTTCAGATCTTCCAAAATATGTCAAAATAAAGAAAACATTTTTTTTTCAAAAAAAATTAATTTTTTGTCCAATAGTTTTGTCCAAAAATCTTATTTTTTCGAAGTAAATTTTTTTCAAAAATGTTAATCGTTTTTAAAAAAATAATAATTTTAGGTACGGAAAGTACCAGCAATTTGCCTTAAGGAACGATGCCTTAATTGCCTTAAGACAGAATTCCATTTACAGCTAGTTTTTGCGAAAAATAGGAAACGCGCGACGGGTTAAGCGTCGGGCATAAGGTGCATATTCCCCTTCATGAACATTAACATGTTGAAGTTCTCGTCTGAAAGCGAGGCTCGTTTTGGTGTCAAAATGTCTTTACCCGTGGAAAACAAACGTTCAACTGCAGCGCTTGATAGTATAGCAGTATTGTATTTAATAAATATATTTATGAATATCTGTTCCCCGAGGAATGCAGCATTGTTGAACGAGTCTTTTGATTTCATATCCAGCCACATTTTAACGAGAATTTGCGCTTTATTCTTTAAAGAGTTTGTAGCTCTTTGGTTTTTCTATAGACTGAGTGACAGAATTGAAAAAGTCTTCCTTCTCGTCATCATCGTTGTTACTCGCATTGCTCCCTCCGCCACTTAAACTATCTCTGTCCTTCGAATTTTTCGCTACTTCTTGCCATAAGGCATCTTCTACCTTTTTTTCCGTGCATTTTCTTACTGCATTCCTCTCTACTGCTGTCATACGTTTCCAGCCACATTAACCGAAACTTTGGGTGAAATGCCGCGGCAAGTTGGCACTGTTCATCATTCAGGAGTAGTCCAAATCTTATCTCTATGCCGTTTAATAAGGCATTGGCTAAAGCTGTGCCGTGCGGTAAATAGTAGGCATTGGATTAACGATTAACGGACTTCTCGCATTTTAACGGAAGTTAACGTGTCCGTTAACATTTTTAAAAGTTAACTTAAAAGTTAATCCGTTAATCAAAATGTTAACTTCGTTAATTAACGATTAACGGATTAACGAGTTAATGCCCAGCTATGCACATACCCAATATGAACACGGGGTATTCTAATATTGTCTATGTCTAGGTTTGCTAACGTTTCAGCCAGCATGAAGTTGGCGACAAAGGCTATGTGCGAAGACATGGAAGGGGAAGTCAAATCGACCGAAGCGTTGTGGCTACTTTGAGCATTAAAGTTGGCTATTATAACAGAAATTTTAAATAAAAACACATAAAATATTTGTTCATTTCAAATTTAAATAGGATAATTAAAAGTGAGCCACCAAAGCTGTTGTATAGTGGGTTGTAGAAATACTAGCAGAAAAAGTG